CGGTGGCCCCCCGATGAGAACGGAGGACAGGCCACAACATGATGCTCTGCGGCTGTTAGCAGATCGAGCACATGCACATGTGGGCATCGTGCGTGTGTGTGCTCGAACTCAGACGCTGTCGCCGGGCCCTCCAACCTTGAGCAGTACTTTCTACATGATGTTCGTTTTCGTGTGTGCGTATGGCTGCATGTGAATCTGCACGTGCGCATGACATGGTGGACATCTGGCAACACGCTCGCGGCCATGAGTGGTGAACGCCAAGGCGCGCGTAGGTGTGCATGCGAACACACATGTGCGAAGGGTTATTGTGGCCACCATGCCTGCACAATGTATATGAGACGGTATGTAAGCTTGGTTTGTCGCTTGCTCTCTTGGTCGTGCTCATGTTTTCACGTTCGCTCTCGTACTAAACTTCAAAGCAATCCTTACTCGTTCTATGTGTTGACCAGTTTGTACAGGTGTGCCGAACACGCCTGGCCAGGCTCAGCGCAAGGCGAGGCAACGTCACAACACAGTGGGTACATGCCGCGATGCCTGTTGGCCGCCTCTTCCAACCCTCACCGGGGGCCTCTGGGGAACCTCTTGGAGGTTCCCCTTGGGGGTCACGGGGGCTGTCTGGGAGTCCTGAAGCTGAGAGGCCCTGCCAGTTCGCTGCTGGCAGTTTTGGTGCAGAACGGCCCATCTGAGCGCCCGTGATGTTGTTCTTGTCCGCGAGGAACATCGTGAGCCTGTCCACGCCACAGCCCCAGCCGCCAGTGGGAGGCAAGCCGTGCTCGAGCGCCTCCACGAATCCGTGGTCAACGCCCTGTGCCTCCTCGTCTCCAGCGTCCTGTTGGGCACATCGGAAGCCAAAGAAAATAAGACCATCGGATAATACCGTAGCACCCCGCAGTTGCGGATTAGAGTGAGGGGGCGACGGGGACATCTGCAGTCGAGGCTCTGAAGAAGTCAGCCGCAGGCGCAAAATTTTCAGGCCATACAACGAGCCCGCCGCGGGCGGCGATTTTTTGTTCAAACAATGTAGGTGGGTCGCGGGTTGGGTCGCAGATGGGTCGCGGGTGGGTCGACGGTGGGTCGCGGATGGGTCGCGGGCCAGGTCGCGGGTGGGTCGCGGGTGGGTCGCGGGTTGGTCGCGAGCGGGTCGCGGGGTGGGTCGCGGGTGGGTCGCGGGGTGGGTCGCGGGTGGGTCGCGGGCCGGGTTGCGGGGGGGACGACGACAACAACAACAACAACAACAACAACAACAACCACCACCACCACCACCACCACCACAACAACAACAACAACGCAACAGGCAGAATCCTCACCACGGATCCGCACTTAAGCCACGCACCCAGGGACAATGAATGATCGTTCGGCCCCCTCACTCTGATGTAGTTACGATTGCCCGTGAGAAGCTTCGGCAACCTCTGCGCCAGGGCATCCAGACAGTGAGCCCAACTCGCTGGACAACAAGCGGACCTGGCGCGACAGCTTCAGGCAGCGAAATCAAAACCCTACCTTTTTCCCGAACGCACATCGACCCCGATGTATCCTTCAAAGTGAAACTCATGTTTCACGATGATATAATGGTGAGCCCACTTGTCGAACAATAACTCAAAAGTGACTTTGGCAGAGTGTGGTGGGCCCAAGAAACGGAGAACTAACACAAAAGCCTCGGTATACCAGTGTTTGCAGCGACACTCCAAGCCATTAAACTACGAAAACTCTGAACCTGACAGTGCTGGAGAAGGGAGGAGGACGGGAACGGTTGGGAAGGAGGGCAGATGGGCATGCGTTGGTTGGAGGTTGAAGGAGACAGTTGATGCTTAAAGCTGAGGCGGCGGGACAATGATAAGGAGGGTGATCGGGAGGACTGAGAAGGGTTAATGAGGATGGTCGGGGAGAGGGTTGCAAGGGTCCGGCAAGGAGGGTTGACGAGGAGGACCCGTGCGGAGGGAGGAACATGAGGAAGATGAGGGCTTGCCCATCGCACGTCTTGTCAAACCTGATCCTCAACCCTCCCCCTCATTGTCCTCCTTCTCCTCCTCCCATCAGCATCATCATAATCGGCATCAGCATCATCATCATCATCATCTTCATCATCATCATCAGCAGCATCAGTATCATCAACCTCATCAGCATCATCATCATCATCATCATCATCATCATCATCATCATCATCATCATCATCATCATCATCATCATCGGCGTCGTGTCCATTAACATCATCATTATCATCATCATCAGCAGCAGAAGTTATCATCGTCATCGCCACCGTCGTCATCACAATTACCATCAGCAGCAGTATCATCAGCAGCAACAGCATCATCATCGTCATCATCATCGTCGTCGTCAACGTCCTCAGCATCAGCATCATCATCAGCAGCATCAGCATCAGAATTATCATCTTCATGACCATCATCATCATCGTCGTCAGCAGCATCATCATCATCACCATCATCATCTGCAGCAGCATCATTACCACCACTACCACCACCATCATCTTCGTCGTCGTGTTCATTAACAGCATCATTATCATCATCATCAGCAGCAGCAGTATCATCTTCATCGTCACCGTCGTCATCACAGATATCATCAGCAGCAGCATCATCAGCAGCAGCAACAGCATCATCATCGTCATCATCATCATCATCGTCGTCGTCAACGTCATCAGCATCAGCATCATCAGCAGCATCAGCATCAGTATTATCATCTTCATAACCATCATCATCATCATCATCGTCGTCAGCAGCATAATCATCATCACCACCATCATCTGCAGCAGCATCATTACCACCAATACCACCACCACCATCATCATCATCATCAGAAGCAGCATCATCATCAGCATCATCAGCATCATCATCATCATCATCATCATCATCATCATCATCATCATCATCATCATCGTCGTCGTCGTCGTCGTCGTCATCATCAGCATCATCTTCATCAGCAGCAGAAGCAGCAGCATCGGCCGGCCCCCGTGCGGGGCCATCAGGCTCCGCGGTTTAGGCTCGTTGCTCCCTGCTCGAGTTCCAGTTTCCAGTCTCCGATGTCACAATATGTGGTATGCTTCCTATTGTGAATTGCTGAAATCCGCGCGATGGGGGAGGAGCCGAAAAGGGCCCTGGTTACCTTCACCTGAAGGGTTCTCCAAATTTCTAGGGGGTCCTGGGACACGTAAGATATGTGAGGTTGGCCCCCCCGAAACCATAATCCCTAGTAAATAACGCCATGTTTGCGCCCCCCGAGGCCAGAATCCCTCGTCAATTACGCAATGTTCGCGTCCCCGAAACCATAAACCCTTGCAAATTACACTGTGTTCGTTCGCGCTCCCGAAACCATAATTCTTGATAACTTACACAAGATTCGCGCATCCGAGGCAACACTCTCTCGTAGATTAAGCCATGCTGGCGACCCCGAAACCACGATCCCTCGTAAATTACGAGTTCTTCGCGTCCCCGATCATGAACCTTTCTGCAAAATATGCAAGATTCGCGCGCTCGAAACACACAATCCTTTCTAAAAAGGCCCCCAAGACAGGACAAGAGACCTCCGAGAAGGCCCAAGAGTGCTCCAAGGCGCCCACCCCAAGAGCGCTCCAAGAGCACCCCCAAGAAGGGCCCAAGAGGCTAACATCTGCGATTGTCCCTCGGTGTTTGATGGATGTTGGTAAGCTCGCCTTTTCGGGCTTCCGACGCGCCAAGACGGCCCAGGAGGCCACTGAGGACGCGAGGGGCCGGGGGAGGGAAAGCGTGCCTGGGACGACGCACACACAGATACACACACTCTCACACACACACACACACACACACACACACAAACACGCGACTCCCCATCAGCAGTCCAGCAGAAGCTTGACCTGCAACACCCATCGAATATCATGCCCGTCCCTCCGCGTCCTCATCGTGTGCCTCCTCGTCACTGCTCCCTTCCTCATGCTTCATCCCCGACCCTTGCCCTCGACCAGCTGCCTCCGCATGTCCCCTCCGTTTCTGTTCTGAATGGTGTTGTTGTTGTATGGTGGTGCTCTGGTTGTTCAGCCATCAGTCGTTGGCTTGGCGTGGTGTCCTGTGTCCGTTTGTTGCTTCGGCCCCAGCTGAAGGAGGAAATGAATGGGGGGGGCTTATGATCCGCCACCGTGCCTTAGGCACTGAGCGGAGTGTCCTCTGAATCCTTCGAACACCCCGCAGTGAATCCGTAAGTCCGCCACCGTGCCCCATGGCACGTTGAGGCGTGGTGGGACGCCAAGTCCTGCCTGGCAGGGCTTCTGTAAACTTGTAAGGCCCCCCCTTCCTTGTGTGAGGACAGGGTTGATCGAAGGGCCGATCTCCTCCAGAGCATCCGTAGATAAATGCAGTAACTTAAAATGAAGGACGATGATGCAAGCTTTACCACTCTCCACAGGTCCTACAGTCGGAGTGCGCTAACAACTGTGTAGCCAACACCTGCGAGTCGAAAGGGGTAGCGGGCACAGCAAAGGGTAGGATAGATAGGGGAGCCATTCACATTCATAGACCTTTGCATGCATCCCCCGCCCCCATCCTGGGGCTCTCTGGGCGCCTCGACGCTCTCATGGCGCTCTCCAAGGCGTCCAGGATACCCAACGCTGCTTCCAATACGGCAATGTGAGGCCACCAAGGCCGCCAAGATGGCCCAGGATGCGTCCAAGACGGCCCAAGGTGGCTCCAAGACGGCCCAGGATGACCTCAAGACTGCACAAGGGTCAAGACGGCCAAAGAAGGATCCAAGATAACCTCCAGCAGAGCCCGAAGAGCTCTTTGCGGATGGTCGCAGTCTCACCTGTCTGGCAGCTCAAGACGGCACAAGAAGCCTCCAAGATGGCCTCAAACGGGGCCCAGAACGGCCCAAGAGGGTTCCAAGACAGCCCAAGAGCGGTCCAAGAGGACTCCAAGTCGGCCCGAGGGAGCCCTCATATGTACGGCCCTCAGGGTCCCCAGGTGCGCTCCAAGACGACTCTTAGAAAGCCTCCCAAGACGGAATCCGAAAGCGCTCAGACGGCCCAAAAGCGCCTCCAGACGGCCGAAGGAGCCCGAAAGAGTCTCCGAGGCGCCCCCAAGACGCTGCCAAGAAGTCCCAGGCGGCCCCCAAGAGGTCCCTAAGAGGCCCTCAAGAGACACCCATCAGGCCCGCAGGGCCTTCGAGAGGCCCAAGGCGTCACAGGCGACGGCCTCCCATGCTCTCTCGAACAATGGCCACCTAGAATGCCATGCTGGCACGGCGGCAGAACCTGCCGCAAGCAGCTGGATATTTGTAAGGGGCCCGCGCACCCTCGTCTGCCCGACTTCCCTGGGAGGGTCGCGTGCCTTTTCCCGAGGTCCACAATCGTTGAAAAGCCGGTTCAACGTCTGCGGCCCCACAGGGAGGAACGCGAAGGTGCCTTAGGAGCCTTTCCCCCACAAGATTGCCACCAAAACCTCAACATGCACCCAAGAGCCCTCCAGAAGTGCACAACTGGCCCCAAGAGGCACCCAAGAAACCTCGGCCTCCAAGAGGCCCCCCACAGAGGCCCCCAAGAGACCCTGACAGCCTCCTCAAGAGGCCTCGAAAAGGCCCCCGAGAGGCATCCTGAGAGACCTCAGCAGGCATATCGGCCTCTCGGCAGACTGCCAGACAAGCAGGTAGGCTCCCAGGTTCTTGAGCGCGCCGAGGCTCCAAGATGCGGATGGCGCTAGACCAGCCCAACACGTGACCAAAAACGACCAACTTTGGGCGCAATGAACTTACTACTTTCACGTCCGCCTTCCGCCGCCTTCTGCCCGCCTTCCGCCAGCTTCCGCTGGCGGAGCCGCCGCCGCTTTTAACTACTCCCGCTGGCTTCCGCCTGCCCTCCGCCTGCTCCCACCAAAGGCGGGACGCACCGAAGGCGATACCTTTTTCAGCAACGGCCGGGATGCTCGCCGAACTGGACATCGAATGATGTCGAAGAGCCGATCTGGAGAGCCCCAAACTGGAGCTGCGGCGGCCACGCCCTCGCGTGCAGCGCAGCGCGCGAGCTGGACGGGCCGCGGGACAGAATTTGCGCGCGAGAAGTCCGGCCATTGATCGGGAACGCCAGAAACCTGGAAAGCACACGTGACGGGGGTGTCGCAAAGCAGTGTGGTGACGCACCGCGCGGTGACCTCGAAGTCCCAAGAGAGCTCACCGCGCGGTCCATCACCGCACGGTCTTGGGACCTCGGAGGCTCCGGCCGCCCGAGACGTCCTCGGAGGACGACCCGAGGCCCAGAGCCGAGTCCCAGGTTCCTCGGAGAACGACCGGAGTCCCCACTGACTCGCCGCGCGGTGCGGTCACCAAGGCGCCTGGGGGCCCCCGAAGATGGCTGGAGGCGCGTGAGGGACGCCCGGAGGCCACGCGGTGTATACGCGTGCCTGGCGCAGAAGGACTGGCACCAGCGTGTCTCCGCCCGGAGGCCCGACGTGCCTGGCGCTGGAGAGGCATCCTGCCACACGTGCACGGCAAACCGCCGGGGCCGGCCGCGCCATGGCAGGGCGGCGAGGTCTAGGCACGTCCACCGCCGCTGGCCAGGCCAGCGGCGGCGGATGTGTCCAGCTCTCGTCGCCCTGTCATGTGCCTTCGGCTTCCTGGTTGCTGTGGCAGGTGGTCATGGGCCACCGCCAAAAGCTGGGATCGAATGCTCATGCTTCGAGCTTGAGCGCGTCATAAGAAGAAACAGCGTTCAGGATACGAGCGTGTAGTCGTCGGACGAGGGAGGAGGAGAGGCGGGAGGGAAGAAAGGGGTGAAGAAGCAGGCAGGGACATGACGATACGAGGCATAGAGGCGCCACGTAGTCGCCCGCCAGCGCTCTGAACAGAGTAAAGTCATGGCGCGGCCTCAGGGGCCGCCTCGCAGACTCATGAGAAGGTCAATTGGAGGCTCCAGTGTTCGGGTGATTACACTGGAGAACATTACGGTCAAGAGCTCTTGCTCAGCATGTCGCGGCGGCGGCCCTGGCAACACGCTAAGCTTTGCGAGTGAATAGCGTGTCGCTCCGCTCCGCGGGGCGGGATGTCGGGAAAGGCTCGGGACGTTGACGCTTGGGGACTGGGACATGGATAGCGTGTCGCGCCGAAGCGAGGTGCGCCAGAACGGGCGGCGCGACACGCTAAGCCAAAGTTCCTGACAGTAATTATCTGTGGCAGACTTGGCACCCTTCTCGAGGGGCAGCATGAACAGCGCAGTGATCGCCCTGGCGGCATCAGCGCGAGTGGTCTCTGAAGGCCGCCGGTGCTGTTCGACGCCTCCCGTCTCTGAATTTCAAGCGGAGGCGTTTCGGCCTCGGAAGGCCGCCTGTGCTGGCGCGTTTGACACGACGGTGAGCGACCGCCCTCCACAGTCGTATTCCCTCCTCCCCTCCTCCACTCGCTATTATTTTGAATTTTGCATGAGAAATACGATGGACAAAAACCCATCATAATTGGACAAAAAAAGTTACATTTGAAAATTGAAAAATCCCCTTTGGGACCCTCCTTAAAAAACGGTCGAGGCTAGACCACCCCAAAATCAATCCCAACGTGTATTTTATCCAGTCCCATCCCTCAGGTCGCTCCGCGAAACGGCGGAGGTGGCTCCGCGCTACTCATAAAGTACAGCCCAGCCGGGCGTGTCAGCGCCCAGGTTCCACCCAAGGCGCTCTGAAACCACTTTTTGTCCAGGACATGGGCATCCCCAGGAGCCAGCGCGCTGCGCAGCATCGCGCACTTCAGATGGAGATGACGGAGACCTCGGACGCGTAGCCGTCGTTGAGACCGCTGCGACACCTCGACTCCAAGAAGGCCAGACTGGCCTTGCTGCGCTCGTTGCTGCGGTCGCACGACGACGAGGCCCTGACGTGCGAGCTCCGCTTGGCCACCGCGTCGCGAGTGCACTTGGAAGCGGCCAACCCCGAGCTGCTGCCGTCGTCGTCGAGCGGAGCGGCCTCCAGCGAGCGCGCGCGCAGGTCGAAGTACAGCGCCGCCATCTTCTGCGGGCTGAACGGGTCCCGCACGAAGGCGTCGCGCAGCTTGAAGACCTGAAACGCTCTGTCGGCCCTGTCCGCGTAGGGGAACCAAAAAACTGCACAGGCATAATCTGTCGGGGGTCCACGCGGAGTTCTTGGATCGGCGATGGAGGCACCGAGGAGCCCCAGCGCCGATCCAAGGAATCCGCGTGGACCTCCGAGAATGCATGTCTGTGCCGTTGTTTGCTCCTCGACTGCAGGCCACAAGTGCGCCGCAGAGCACCGGAGCTTGCCGATCGCCTGTTCGCGCTCGCTGCGGTCGCACAGCTCGCTGGCCGCTGCGCGCAGCGAGGTGACCACGAGCGAGCGCCACGTCTGGGTGGTGAGCATCACGTCGTCTGCCTGGAGGTAGTGGTAGGCGCCGATGGTCGAGGAACAAAAAGCCGCATGAATATAGACGAGCGCGTTCCACTACTCGCAAAGTAACTACTCGCAAATGGGCTGGATCCCCCGCGGAGGATCTACGATAAATTACATCAAAGAAGACATATGTTTTTCGGACGTTTGCGAGTAGGCATTTTGCGAGTAGTGGAACGCGCTCGGTGAGAATAGGCAACCACATGCGAAGCCTACCACTGCAAGTCAGATATTTGAATCGCTGGCCAGGGTTCATTAATAATCGAAGGATGTGTGCAGCCATTTGAACCCCAGCAGCGGTGACCGATACTCCAGCGTCGGGTGAACCCGCAGGGGTAGGGTTCGCTAGCGGTCGCAGAATGAACTCAAACTGTCGGAGGTCTGCGCAGACCTCTTGAATCGGCGCCGGAGGTACCGCCGGGGGGTCCCAGCGCAGATCCAAGAGATCTGGGAGCTCATTTTATGTCTATGCTCCAGAGTCCCATCGGAACTCCGAGAGGTCATGGTCATGCCGTCTTTCGCCCTTCGAGATGAGCACGAACCAGGCACTCTTGTCGCTCAGCTCCATCGCCTCGAGGGCACCCCGGAAGCACTGGCGAAGATCCATCTGTGAGCCGCCGCCGGCCGCATCGGCGAGGACGAACTCCGCCATCACGCGGGCAGTGCGGCCGTCGCAGGCCGGCGCGTCGCCGAACCGCTGCGCGAGGTGGTGCGACACCGCGTTGAGCAGGCGGCCCCAGCTCGGGTGCGGCAGGCCACTCGACGTCTCGCCCCCGCCCCCGTCGAAGCGGCGCCTCGGGAGGCTCGAGTCGAAGGAGCCGGAGACCTCTCTCGCAGGCCCAGACGTGGCCGCCGTGCTCGCCGAGCCGCTGTCGTTCAGCAGCGCCCGTGCCCGCTCCAGGCGGGACATCGACTGGGATCGCGGTCTGCGGCGGCTGGGTCGGTGGCTCCTGCGGCGGGGCGGGGCGCCCTGAGATGCCATGGCGCCCGCCCGGCTGGAAGCGCGAGGCCGCCCGGCTTGGGCCAGCCTCTGAGGAGGCCCAGGTCGCGTCGAGCTGTACCGACAGCGACTTGAGTCAGAACGGCTACGGAAGACGCGGACGACGACAACTGGCGGGTGTGGAAATGGATGAGAGTGGGAGTGGCAGGAGGGATGGGCAGGAATCGATTGGAAAGCGGGGGTGTTGGGGGGGGAGGAGGGGGGATATGCGTACGTATGTATGCGTGTGTATATATATATACACACACGGGTACATGTACGAAGATTATCTGACCGTCGCTATACTAATCCGGTGTTGCGAGGTGGACCGTCCTGGGGGTCTTGTGGGGCCGAGGCAAGGCCGTCTGAGGGGCCTGCTGGGTCGCATTGGGGGCCTTGTGAGCCGTCTTGGGCCCCAAGGCTGTTCGGGGGTCTCTTGGGGCTGTCATTGGGAGGTCTGGAAGCCTCCTGGGCTGTTTGGGGGCTCTCGTCGGCTGTTTGGCGTCCCTCTGGGGACCTTCTTGGGTCGTCTTGGGGCCCTCTTGGGCTGCCTTGTCTCTTCTAAGCCGTATTGGGGCTCGGGCGAGGTCTCATTCTGGTCCGCGTATGGCGCCACTCCGCTGACCTCCCAGGACCCCACGAAAGCCGCGACCTTTGCGCAGCTCGCAGCCCCGAGGGAGGGCGAGATCTTATTATGATGCGCGTTCCGCTGGACCTCCAACGAGCCCACGAAAGCGGCCATTGAATCCTCAAAAACCGTGAAGATATGTCGCCTTTTGGAACCCTCTTGCGGAGCCTCTGGGAGCCCCCTTGAAGGGCAACGGGGGCATCTTGAGCAATATTGGAGGCATCTATGGCTCTCCTGGGGCGTTCTTGGGAGATGTTTGGATCGATCCTCTCGGGCCCATCCCGGGAACTTCTGGGGGGCCTCGGAGACTGCTTGGGGAGCCTCTTGGGCGGTCTTGGGTCCCTCTTAGCCCGTGGTGGTAGCCTTTGGGGAGCCTCTGAGAGCATCTTGACCCCAGATTGAGGGCTCTTCGGTCATCGTGAGCTGAGAGAAACGTAACGAGTGAAATATCCTGCGGAAGTGATGACACGTTGCCCAGTTGTGCCCTCTCGGGGATCCTCTGGGAGCCCACATGAATCGCCATGGGTGCCTCTTGGAATCTCTCGACACTCTCGGAAAATCTTGGGAACCTCTCGGGGCCCTCCGAGGGCCCTTCAGGGGGCCCTGGAGCCCTCTTGGGGAGCATGCTGGGCCGTCTTGCGGTCGCCTCCTTGTCATCCCGTGCTGGTGGCATTTCGGGGACCTCTTTGGACGTCGCAGACCGTGAGAAGACCGAGAAGGCGAGAATAGCAAAACCACTCACAGGCCTGCGGGACATCAACGCAAGTTGCCGTTTGGTGCTCACTTGGGGATCGGCTTTGAGCGCAATGGAGGCCTCTTCGGAAGTCTTGGAGGCATCTGAAGCTCTCTTGAGGCGCTCACCAGAGATCTCGGGAGCCTCTCGGATCATCTTGGAGTTTTCTTGCGGAGTTTCGCGCGCCACTTTCTCGACGCCTTCTTGTTCCAAAGCATCGACGTGGCGTGCTGCTGCGTCGGGAGCATTCTGACCAAGGGTATGTGTTTCACTACTGGTCTTGGCTGGACGGCAGCGCCGGCTACAGACTCTGCAGACCAGCTGGCAGGGGCTCCTCGCGCACCGCCGCCGATCGTCTCGGAGGGGGGGGAGGGGGAGGAGGAGGAGGAGGAGGAGGAGGAGGAGGAGGAGGAGGAGGAGGAGGAGGAGGAAGAGGAGGAGCGAGGAGGAGGAGTTTTCCTGGGTCGCTGGGCAACGCTGTGGAGCCACCCGTGAGGTCGGGGGAGCCCCTCAGAGGGCGTCCCCTGGGCCTCCGCGCGCCCAGGGGGGTTTGAGGGCCGAGGGCCTGGGAGCCTGTCCCAGGTGTGCGTATGTACGCACAGCGCTTGTCGATCTATATATATATATACACACATAGATATAGATATAGATATAGATGTAGACACACACATATATAGATATAGATATATATATATATGTATATATATAAATAGATATAGATATAGATATATATATATATGCATATAGATATAGATATATATATATATATATACATATATATGCATATATATAGATATAGATATAGATATATATATATAGAGAGAGAGAGATATAGATATAGATATAGATATAGATATATCTATAGATATAGACATAGATATAGATATAGATATAGATATATACACGCACGTACGTGCACATGTACAAATACAGCTCTTAAGCAAAAACTACATGCGGACATACACACACATACAGACAGACACACATGCATACATACATACGGACATGCATACAGACATACAGACAGAGAGACCTACCAACATACAGACACACATATATAAATGTACACACACATGCACGCAGGCATGCATGCATACGTGCATACCTATACGCGAACATGCATACATGCATGTAAATATGCATAAGCACAAACAGACTTAGATGTAGAAATACGAGAGTTCACGTATACCACGCATACATGCAAGCATGCATGCATGAGTACACATATCTATATACGTACATAGATACATACATGCATACACCTGTATAGACATGCATACATACATACATACATACATGCATACATATACGCATACACACATACACAAACACACACGTACACACATACATACATACGTGCATAAATACGTGCATACATACATACATACATACGTGCATAGATAAATATATGCATAGATAAATGCATGCATGCAGACATACATACACACAGACATTGCATGCATGCATGCATGCACGCGTATAAACATACACACTCACATAGATACATACATGCATGCATGCAGACAGGCAAACAGACAGACAGACGTACAGACATAAATACATCCACATACATATATGTATATATACATACATATACATACATGCGTACACACATATCTGCATGCAAACATACATAACTTCATACATACATAGATATGTAAATGCAAACGTACACCTATAAATAGCACGCAGACATACGTGCACGCATGCGTACAGTCAAACATACAAACAAACAAATATACATGTATACAGATATAAGCACATGCATACATACATGCACGCATATTTGCATACATGCATACATACATGCATGGATGCCTATGTACGTGCATACATATACACATATACACATACATTGCACGCATGCATACATGCATGCGTACATACATACACACTCACATTTAAACATACATGCCTACATAGGTATATATTTACTTACATACACACATGCATACAAACATACATGTGCAGATACACACGTACATACATGCACACATGTCTCTCTATTTACAGACGTACATGCATACATACATAAATACATGCACACATACCTAAATACACTTTTCACGTCGGCGGCTCGGCAGAGTGACTGCGTTGAGGGATGTGGCAAATGTAGGCACACAAATGCAAAATACATACACACACATGCAAGCATACACACATGCGTATCCGTATACGTACCTACATGCATACATACAGATATATATATATATATATATATATACATACATACATATATACATGCATACATACATGCAGACATACATACATACATACATACATACAAGCATGGAGATGTACACACATACATACATTGCGTCCATGCTTGCATGCATACATACTACACACATACATACATGCATACATGCATACGTACACATGCATGCATGCATCTATACATAAGTTGACACACATTCGTACATGTCGATATGCATGCATACATACATGTATACACACATGCGTACACACATGCGCAAATTGCATAGATAGCTGCATGCGTGCGCACATATAGCCACACATACATACATACCTGCATATAGTCATATGTGCATGTACACAAACATACATACAAAGATACATACACGCATACATACCGATATACCTACAAAGATACATGCCTGCATGCATGCATGCATACGGACATACATGCGTTCATGTACATGCATACACGTCTACATGTATACCAGAATATACGCTATAAGTGTATACGTACATAGACATGCTAGCCACCCCTCTTGGGACCCCATCATAAGAGAGAGAGAGAGAGAAAGAGAAAGAGAAAGTGCGCGAGAACGGAGAGACTGAGATGAATAACTAGAAAGAGAAAAAGAGAGAGAGAGAGAGAGAAACAACAAAAAAACTATCTGTTACATACACCCAAATCTGTTATGTTCTACTTGGTCCAATCCACTCTACTCTAATTCAACAATCTCTGTTTTCTACCATTTACTAGACGCTATTGTTACAACTACTCTACTACTCTACTCTAATACAATCGACCGTGTCTCCTCATCAACTCTGTCTCCAAATTCTCTGCCCTTCCCATACTACACCCCTACTTCTGCCCCTACCCCGATCCTCCACCCTCTACACGATCATCCGCTCTACTCCCACGATCTACTCTACTTTCTGCATCCACTCTACGATCGACTCTCCACTCCCTACGCTGTGCTCTCTACTCGAGCGAATTGATCTTCTACTCGGCCCTGCTCTTCTGTAGTCTCCATTGTGGCGCAGGGTGGAGGTAGACTAACGAGTAGCGTAGAGACCAGACTAGAGAGCAATGCGCGGAGTGGATATTATGGATGCAGAGTAGAGGGTAGATACAAAAGTAGAGCAGCGTATGGAAGTCTATCAAGTAGAGTAGATTGAAAAGTAGAGAGCAAAGTTGAGCAGGGAGCCGAGAATCAAGAGCAAAAAGCATATGATCTGGCAGAGGATCTGACCTATACCGGAAGCTGGGCATGAGTGGCAGAGCGAAGTAGAGTGCGGGGAGAGAAAGAGAGAGAGAGAGAGAGAAAACGAGTAGAGTGGAGAACCGGGTAGGTAGGAAGTGCAGTAGATCATACAGGA